AGTGGCTCTTGCCTGTAATTCCAGCACTTTGGGAGGCTGAGGATGGAGGATCACTGGAGCCCAGGAATTCGAGACCAGTCTGGGTAACATGCAAAAACCCCGTCTCTACAAAATACAACCCACAAAAAAATTAACTGGGTGTGGTGCTGTAGCTGTAGTCCCAGCTACTAGGAGGCTGAGATAGGAGGATCACCTGAGCCCAGGAGGCAGAGGTTGCAGTGAGCGTGATCACGCCACTGCACTCTTGCTTGGGTGACAAAGTGAGACCCTGTCTCAAAAAAGAAAAAAAGTAATTAATCCCCAGTGTTGGATGTGGGGCCTGGTGGGGGGTGTTTGGGGGACGGGGTGGGTCCCTCCTGGCGCAGTGCCGTCTCTGGGATAGGGATCTGGTTGTTTAAGGAGCGTGGCACCTCCCCTACCCCCATTCTCTGTCTCTTCCTCCTGGCCTCCCCATGTCTCACGCCTGCTCCCACTTTGCCTCCTGCCATGAGTAAAGGCTCCATCACCTTCCCAGAAGCCAAACTGATGCCAGTGCCACGCTTCTGGTACAGTCTGCAGAACCACGAGCCAACGAAACCTCTTTTCTTGATAAATTACCCAGCCTCAGGTATTTCTCTACCGCAATGCAAGAATGGCTAATACAGAAAATCAGGGGTGGTGGACAAGTCCTGAGAAAGTGCTGCCATGAGTGTGGCCAGAGCCTCAGGGGGTGACCCGTGAAGGGGGTCCCGCAAAGACCCTGAGAAGAGGCGGCAGGAGGCAGGGGAGACACCAGGAGGATGCATGTGAAGGCACCAATATGAGGCAGGAGGGTCAATGAATACGGAGGGTCAGGGGGTCAGAAGCTACAGAGAGGCTGAATAAGGCGAGGGCATCGTCGTCGGGGTGGTGGGGGTGTGCAGGGCTGCAAGGCACAGCCCGATGGGCAGAACTGGTGGAAGGGGGATAACGTGGGCCCCAGAGGGGATCTTGAGAAGCATGGAGTGTGTGGAATGGACGATCGGCAACCCGGAAACCCAGGAGAGAGGGACATACTTTGTTTAGGGGAGAGAGGGATGACAGGTGATGGGTGGATAAGTGAGCATAAGACAGGGAAACGGGCTCAGAAAAGGAGTCTGTGGGGCAAGGGCCCAACACGGTCCCCTTCCCCTCAGGAAAGACTAGGACCTCATCCTTCTGAGAACCCGGAAAGACAGCCTAGAGAGGGCACCTCACAGAGAGGAGGAGGGAATCAAAGCGTCTTTAAGGTCAAGACGTCAGGAAGGCCGGCGCTGTGGCTCACGGCTGGAATCTAGCACTTCCGGAGGCAGAGGTGGGAGCGTCGCTGGAGCTCAGGTGTTTGAGACCAGCCTGGGCAACATGGCAAAACGTCATCTCTACAGAAAAATACAAAAATTAGACAGGCATTGTGGTGTGCACCTGTGGTTCCAGCTACTCAGGAGGCTAAGGCGGGAGGATTGCTTGAGTCCAGGAGTTCGAGGCTGCAGAGAGCTGATTGCACCACTGCACTCCAGGCTGGGCGATAGAGCAAGACCCTGTCCCCCTCTGCCCCATGCCTAAAAAAAAGGCTAGGCATGATTTCTGATTGCAAAAGGATTGAACGCAGAGATTTATCATAGCAAGGCCAGCGGCGTTGTACCTACAGTTTTCCTGAAGTTGCGGGGGGCCCCTGTCTTTTTTTTATTTTTTTTTGAGACGGAGTTTCACTCTTGTCACCTAGGCTAGAGTGCAATGGTATGATGTCGGCTCACTGCAACCTCTGTCTCCCAGGTTCAAGCGATTCTCCTGCCTCAGCCTCTCAGGCATGCGCCACCATGCCTAGCTAATTTTTGTATTTTTAGTAGAGACAGGGTTTCATCATGTTGGCCAGGCTGTTCTCGAACTCCTGACCTCAGGTGATCCACCCGCCTCGGCCTCCCAAAGTGCTGGGATTACAGGCATGAACCACCACGCCCGGCCGCCCCTGTCTTATTAAATCACTTGCAGGCCAGGTAGGAATGGTGGAGACGCTTGGTGCACATGGTATCCTCTGCTAGGAGGACACTGAGGGAGGCCAAGCTGCTGCCTCATCCACCCCCTCCCTGCCTCTGCACCTGTAGATCCTGCAGGTAACCACAGGTGACCGCGGAGCCCCCCAGCCAGCTCCCCATGCCTGCAGGTGCTGGCCCCTCACCCCTACGCAATGGGGTCTCCAGCAATGCCACCCTCTCCTGCAGCACCAGCTCTTGCTTCTCTCTTCTACATGCATGCAAGCATGTTCTCCTAGCAGGCATGTACACATGCACACATGCCCCTTCCCTTGACCCCACTTCGGCAAAACTCCTTGAAGAAGCTGTCTTCTCAAGCATCTAATTCCACTCCTCCAATTCCTCAAGCCCTTCCCATCAGACTCTGCTGCCCCCCCCACGCCGACTGTCCTTGCCAAGGTCCCTAATGACCTCCGCACATTGCCACGTCCTTGTTTTTCAACTCTCATCTGAGCTGCTGTGTTAGCAGCTATTTCCAGGTCACCGACCCTCCTGGGCCTCCTCCCCCGGCTGGATGCTCTGTCCCTGTTTCCTTGACTGGTCCTTGCCCTCCCTGCTAAGCTTCTTGCTGCTGCTGCACGGGGACTGTCCGCAGATGCCTCACTCTGCCTTCTCATCCGCTCTGGCCATGCGGGATGCCATTGACAAGCCGATGGCTCCCCAGTGTGGGACTCCAGTCCACGCCTTTCCTTGGATTTATCTTCTACTTGTTCTTCTACTGGAATTTCAACCTTTATGGGTCTGCATTTCAGCCTGATCCCTTCCTCCCCAAGTCTGCACTCCCCAAGCCCGAGTGTGGACCCCTGTAGCCCAGCGCCAGGAGGTGACATCTGCAGGGCTAGGCAGAGACCTCCTTCCCGGCCTGACCCAGCTCTCTGCCACCCTTCAGTGGCTCAGAACAAACCCCGGGAGGTAGCCCCACTCCTCTCCATCACTCCTGATGCTGAATCTAAAGTTTCTCTCTCTCTCCTTTTTTTTTTTTTTTGAGATGGAGTCTCACTCTGTTGCCCACGCTAGAGCGCAGTGGCGTGATCTCAACTCACTGCAACCTCCACCTCTTGCATTCAAGAGATTCTCCTGAATCCACCAAGCCCGGCTAATTTTTGTGTTTTTAGTAGAAACGGGGTTTCACCATGTTGGTCAGGCTGGTCTCGAACTCCTGGCTTGAAATGACCCACCTGCCTCGGCCTCCCAAAGTGTTGGGATTACAGGTGTGAGCCACTGCGCCTGCCTTAAGTTTCATTTTTGGCTCTGCCTTCAAAATATCTCCAGAATCGGCCGGGCGCGGTGGCTCAACCCTATAATCCCAGCACTTTGGGAGGCCGAAACGGGCGGATCACGAGGTCAGGAGATCGAGACCATCCTGGCTAACATGGTGAAATCCCCTCTCTACTAAAAAATACAAAAAACTAGCCGGGCGAGGTGGTGGGCGCCTGTAGTCCCAGCTACTCGGGAGGCTGAGGCAGGAGAATGGCGTGAACCCGGGAGGGCGGAGCTTGCAGTGAGCCGAGATCCGGCCACCACACTCCAGCCTGGGTGACAGAGCGAGACTTCGTCTCAAAAAGAAAAAAAAAAAAAAAATATATCTCCAGAATCTAGTCCCTTTTTACCACAGCTGCCACCTAGTCTGAGTCATGACCACCTCTCATTGCAATGATGGCATCAGCCTCCCATTGGCCTCCCTCTGCCACCTATGATCCGGGCACCAAGCAGCAGCCAGAGAGAGCCTTTTAAAAAGTTGGTCGGGTGCAATTGGCTCATGCCTGTAATCCCAGGACTTTGGGAGGCTGAGGCAGGAAGATTGCTTGAGTCCAGGAGTTTGAGACCAGCCTGGGCAACATAGCCAGATTGTCTCTATAAAAAATAAAAATATTAGCCGTGTGTGGTGGTGCATGCCTGTCCCTGCTACTTGGGAGGCTGAGGCAGGAGGATTGCTTGAGCCCAGGAACTCGAGGCTGCAGTGAGCAATGATCGTGCCAGTGCCCTCCAGCCTGGGCAACAGAGTGAGACCCTGTCTCTTAAAAAAAAAAATAGTGACTAATCCCAGCACTTTGGGAGGCTGAGATGGGCGGATCATGAGGTCAGGAGATCGAGACCATCCTGGCTAACACGGTGAAACCCCATCTGTACTAAAAAAATACAAAAAACTAGCCGGGCGAGGTGGCAGGCGCCTGTAGTCCTAGCTACTCTGGAGGCTGAGGCAGGAGAATGGCGTAAACCCGGGAGGCGGAGCTTGCAGTGAGCTGAGATCCGGCCACTGCACTCCAGCCTGGGCGACAGAGCGAGACTCCGTCTCAAAAAAAAAAAAAAAAAGAAATAGTGACTAGGTCAGACGTGGTGGCTCACGCCTGTAATCCCAGCACTTTGGGAGGCTGAGGCAGGCGGATCACAAGGTCAGGAGATCGAGACCATCCTGGCTAACACGGTGAAGCCCTGTCTCTACTAAAAATACAAAAAAATTAGCCGGGCGTGGTGGTGGGCACCTGTAGTCCCAGCTACTTGGGAAGCTGAGGCAGGAGAATGGCATGAATCCGGGAGGCAGAGCTTGCAGTGAGCTGAGATTGCGCCGCTGCACTCCAGCCTGGGTGACAGAGCAAGACTATGTCTCAAAAAAAAAAAAAAAAAAAATTGTGACCTTGTAAGCTGCAATGGTTGCAAACAGCACCCTCCTCAGTAAAGTACATAGTCTGTTTCTTTCTTTTTCTTTCTTTTTAAAATTTGAGACAGATTTTTGCTCTTGTCGCCTAAGCTGTAGTACAGTGGCGTAATCTTGGCTCACTGCAAACTCTGCCTCCCGGGTTCAAGCGATTCTCCTGCCTCAGCCTCCTGAGTAGCTGAGATTACAGGCACCCACTACCATGCCTGGCTAACTTTTTTGTATTTTTAGTAGAGATGGGGTTTCGCCATGTTGGCCAGGCTGGTCTCGAACTCCTGACCTCAGGTGATCCACCCACCTTGGCCTCCCAAAGTGCTGGGATTACAGGCGTGAGCCCCCACGCCCGGCCACACAGTCTGTTTCTTATATGGGTTGCCCTAAGGAACCTTGGAGACATTTCTTTCCACTGGACATTTGTGTCTCTGACCTCGTGCTGTCTCTCGTCTAGACACCAGGCAAGTATTCGGGGTGCCCTTGGAAAGCCCCAGGATGTGACAGCCAGGGTTCACGTTGGCCAGGTCATCATGCCTATCTGTACCAACAGCAGAACCATGAGCATGTGATTGAGGTCATACGTGGGGCCAAGTCCAAGTTCCCTGGCTGCCAGAAGATCTAGAGCACAAAGCAGCGGGCCTTGATCAGGTTCAATGCGGATGAAGCTGATCCCACATGGTGGCTGAGAAGCGGCTCCCTCATCTGGCATGGCTGGGGGTCAAACGCAGCCCCAGTCGTGGCCTCCCGGGTGAGTGTTGGCCCCTGTGCTTCTGAGGGCTTCCCCTGTGCAGACCCCTCCTTACTCATGCCTACCAATAATAAATCCTACTTCCTGTTTCCCCACCAGAGCCAGGACCCTCTGTTCAAACCCTCCAATAGCCCCCAGTTGACTCAGAGTAAAAGCCAAAGACTCTGCAATGGCCGACAAGGCCCCCATGCTCCGCCTCTCCCTGGTCTCTCTGACCTCACCGCTTCCCGCTCTTCCTCCTGGTCACGGTGCTGCGGCCATGCTGGTCTCCAGACACGTTTGCACCACGAGACCTTTGAACTGGCGGTTCCCACTGCCTAGAACGTCCTTCCCTCTCACATCTGCAGGGCTCATTCCCTCACCTCTGCCACGACTGTTTAGAAGTTAACTTCTGTCTGGGATCAGTGGCTCATGCCTGTAATCCCAGCACTTAGGGAGGCCCAGGTGGGAGGATTGCTGGAAGCCAGGAGTTTGAGACCAGCCTGGGCAACATAGCGAGACGTCGTCTCTACAAACAATACAAAAATTAGCCAAAAGCGGTGATGTGCACCCGTAGTCCCAGTTACTAGGGAGGCTGGGAGGATAATTTGAGCCCAGGAGTTGGAGGCTGCAGTGAGCTATGATTACGCCACTGCACTTCAGCCTGGGTGACAGAGTGAGACCCTGTCTCCAAAAAAAAAAGAAAAAGATAATAAATTAAACAAAGAAGGGAACTTCTTAGGGAGGCCTACCCTGACCACCCGATTTAAAAATTTAACCCTTTTCAGCTGGGTGCAGTGGCTCACACCTGTAATCCCAGCACTATGGGAGGCTGATGCGGGCGGATCACTTGAGGTCGGGAGTTCGAGACCAGAATGGACAGCATGATGAAACCACTGTCTCTACTAAAAATAACAAAAATTAGCTGGGTGTGGTGGTGTACACGTGTAATCCCAGCTACTTGGGAGGCTGAGGCAGGAGAATCGCCTGAACCTGGGAGGTGGGGTTACAGTGAGCCGAGATTGCACCAGTGTACTCCAGCCTGGGCAACAGAGCAAGACTTCATCTTCAAAAAAAAAAAAAAAAAACTTTAACTCTTTTCACTTGGTCTTCCCATCCTCCTTATAACATTGATTACCTTCAAAGCAACTATCTCATTCACTTATTTATTACGTCTACTGTCTGTCCCTTCATAAGAAGGTGAGCTCCTGGTTTGCCCTGTAATAACCCCAGCGTGTAAGGCAGCTGCCCACGGTCAGCCTTGGGTATGTTCTAGCTCACGGGCGAGTGGATGCTACCCTGCGGCAAGCATCTGTTTCCTCAGTTGGAAACTTGCACCAGGATTCCTGGAGCTGCAGGGTCTCCCAGGCTGAGGCACAGCTGGCCCTCTTTGCGATCTGATGTGAGCATCTACCACGGCTCAGTCCCATCCCATCACAGCCAAACCCAGTGGCCACGTGTGTTAGAGAGACGAGAGACCCCAGGAGATGGGGCCTGGCCATGGGCAGCAAGACCCCGGGAGGGCCGGCCAGTCCTCTGCTGCTTCCACTGCCAGTAACTGCATAGGCCTCACTTGGATCCTTCCAGGCTCTGCCCTGGCACTGGAAGCTGGGCGAGTGGTTTCCAGGTCTTCTCACTGGGTTCTCTCAGCAACCCTGTGAGTCTGACCTCTTATTTATTTATGTATTTATTTGAGATGGAGTCTTGCTCTGTCTCCCAGGCTGGAGTGCTGTGGAGGTATCTCAGCTCACTGCAACCTCTGCCTGCCAGGTTCAAGCGATTCTCCTGCCTCAGCCTCCTGAATAGCTACAGGTGCCCGCCACTGCGCCCGGCTAATTTTTTGTATTTTTTAGTAGAGATGGGGTTTCACCGTGTTAGCCAGGATGGTCTCAATCTCCTGACCTCGTGATCCACCCGCCTCGGCCTCCCAAAGTGCTGGGATTACAGGCGTGAGCCACCTACCTCTTAGTTTTTTAACTGGAGACAGGGTCTCACTCTGTCACCCAGGCCGGAGTACAGTGATGCAATTATAGCTCACTGCAGCCTTGAGCTCCTGGGCTCAAGCCATCCTTCAGCCTCCCGAGTAGCTGGGACTACAGGCATGTGCCAGCACATCCGGCGAATTTTAAACATTTTTGTAGAGATGGGGTCTTGCTATGTGTCCCAGGGTGGGTCTTGAACTCCTGGCCTCAAGGGATCCTCCTGCCGTGGCCTCCCAAAGCCTTGGGATTACAGGCATGAGCCATCGTGCCCGACCGAGTTTGGCTTTTTCTATCCCCTTTACAGAGACAGAAACAGACGCACTAGGAAGTTAAACTCATTCATTCTTTCAAAGATTTCCTGAGCGTCGACTAAGACTTGCCCACGGTCATCAGCCAGTAAGTGACGCTGCTGGGATCCTGATACAGCCAGTGTCTCCTGACCACAGACACTGCCTCCCTGAACAATGGCAGGGTTGTCCTCAAATCCTGCTCCCCGGAGGCCACACCACTGCCCCAAACAGGCAGTTCTGCTATTACTTTTTTTTTTTTTTGAGACAGAGTCTTGCTCTGTCGCCCAGGCTGGAGTGCAGTGGCTGGATCTCAGCTCACTGCAAGCTCCGCCGCCCAGGTTCACGCCATTCTCCTGCCTCAGCCTCCCGAGTAGCTGGGACTACAGGCGCCCGCCACCTCTCCCGGCTAGTTTTTTGTATTTTTTAGTAGAGACGGGGTTTCACTGTGTTAGCCAGGATGGTCTTGATCTCCTGAGCTCGTGATCCGCCCGTCTCGGCCTCCCAAAGTGCTGGGATTACAGGCTTGAGCCACCGCGCCCGGCCAGTTCTGCTATTACTTATCCATACCCGATTCTGTTTGAAAAAAAGAGAAAGGGCTCTTCCTATTGGTATTATTTATTTTTTACTTTTTTGAGCCAGAGTCTCGCTCTGTTGCCTAGGCTGGAGCGCAGTGGTGCAATCTTGGCTCACTACAACCTCCACCTCCCACGTTCAAGTGATTCTCCTGCCTCAGCCTCCTGAGTAGCTGGGATTACATGTGTGCACCACCATGCCCGGCTAATTTTTGTATTTTTAGTAGAGATGGGGTTTCATCATGTTGGCCAGGCTGGTCTCAAACTCCTGACCTCAGGTGATCCGTCCATCTCAGCCTCCTAAAGTGCTGGGATTACAGGCGTGAGCCACCATACTCGACCAGAGCCCTTCCTTGTTGGTATTCGAAGAGTCTGAATTTCTTGGAAAAGGCAGGAACTTGGGAAATGCCTGCTCAAGGCTGGGGCCAGGCTGTGTCTCCCCTGTCTATGGAGACCAGTCACTCAACACTGTATGAGTCAGTTGCTGATCAACGGTCCCCTGGCCGGGAGCCCTGGCAACATCACCGTAGCTCTGTGGAGCCCTCCCAGTTCCCTGGTTGGGTCCGTACATGCGGGCCCAGGCCTCTGCCACCTCACAGAAATCAGTGATGAACTGAAGTAGACACCAGCAAGCTGTGTGCCTCCAAAGCTGGCATGCTAGGACTGTGGAGAGGAGCAGCATATCCCCAGGCAGCCACTCGGAGGGGCTTTTAAACAGAAGCACACAGGGCCATTGCAGACAATTCAAGCGCTCTAATCTATCTCATCATCACGTCGTGCCACCCTGTCTACGTACAATTGTGTTTCCTCAGAGCATGCAGCCGGGTACGGTGGCTCACGCCTGTAATCCCAGCACTTTGGGAGGCTGAGGCAGGCAGATCGCTTGAGGTCAGGAGTTCAAGATCAGCCTGGCCAACATGGTGAAACCCCATCTCTACTAAAAATACAAAAAAAAAAAAAAAAAAAAAAGCCAGGTGTGGTGGTGAGGACCTATAATCCCAGCTGCTTGGGAGGCTGAGGCAGGAGACTCGCCTGAACCCAGGAGGCAGAGGTTGCAGCGAGCCGAGATTGTACCATTGTACCCCAGCCTGGGTGACAGAGCCAGACTCCATCTTAAAAACAAAACAAAACAAAAAACAAATAAGGGGCTGGGCACGGTGGCTCACGCCTGTAATCCCAGCACTTTGGGAGGCCAAGGTGGGCAGATCACTTGAGGTCAGGAGTTCGAGACCAGCCTGGCCAACATGGTAAAACCCCATCTCTACTGAAAATACTAAAAATTAGCTGGGCATTGTGGCACGCACCTCTAATCCCAATTACCGAGGAGGCTGAGGCAGGAGAATTGCTTGAACTCAGGAGACAGAGGTTGCAGCCAGCCTAGATCGTGCTACTAAACTCTAGCCTAGGCAACAGAGAGAGACTCTGTCTCAAAAACAAAAGCAAGGAACAAGGTTCTGTTCAGATCCACTTAACTGCGGGGACAGGAGAAAGGTCAAGGCTGAACCATTTGCCTGGAATGGGGGCATCAGCCAATTGCAGTCAGAGCATGAAATCTCACTCTCTTTTTCTGCCTCTGCAGCTAGCCCTGCAAAACCAGGTGCAATTGCAGTTTTGCTTAATTAAATCTCACTTTAGAAGCACGTGGGGAGGCCGGGTGCAGTGGCTCACTCCTATAATCCCAGTACTTGGGAGAACCAGGTGGGTGGATCTCCTGAGCTCAGACCAGCCTGGGCAACATGGTGAAACCCTGTCTCTACAAAAAATTAGCCAGGCGTGGTGGCGCACACCTGTGGTCCCAGCTAGTTGGGAGGCTGAGGTGGGAGGGTTGCTTAAGCCTGGGAGGAGGAGGTGGCAACAGACTGAGACCCTGTCTCAACTTTCCGAGGAAAAAGACTTTGAGCAAACTTTTTTTTTTTTTTTTTTTTTTTTAAGATTCAGGGTCTTGCTCTGTTGCCCAGGCTGGAGAGCAGTGGTGCCATTATAGATCACTGCAGCCTTGAACTCCTGGGCAGAAGTGATCCTCCCACCTCAGCCTCCAGAGTAGCTGGGACTACAGGCACATGCCACCATGCCCAGTTAATTTTTTATTTTTTGTAGAGATGGGGTCTCACTATGTTGCCCAGGCTGGTCTCAAACTCCTGCACTCAAGCAATCCTCCTGCCTTGACCTGCTCCCAAAGTGCTTGTCTTATAAGAGTTACAGGAATGAGCCACTGTGCCCAGCTTGCTTGCTTGCTTGCTTGCTCGCTCGCTCCCTCCCTCCCTCCCTTTTTTTTTTTTTTTTAACATTTCTTATTTTAATTTAGTTAACAGATCATTAAATACATGGGGGCATGCCTAAACTAGCAAACAGAAAAATTAACCACGTCAGACTTCAGTGTGTCAAATACCAAACTGGCAGAGTTCTTAGGGTTTTTTTTTTTTTTTTTTGAGACGGAATTTCACTCTATAGCCCAGGCTGGAGTGCAATGGCGCAATCTCAACTCACTGTAACCTCTGCCTCCCAGGTTCAAGCAATTCTCCTGCCTCAGCCTCCCAGGTAGCTGGGATTACAGGCGCCCACCACCATGCCTGGTTAATTTTTGTATTTTTAGTAGAGACAGGGTTTCACCATGTTGGCCAGGCTGGTCTTGAACTCCTGACCTCAAGTGATCCGCCCGCCTCAGCCTCCCAAAGTGCTGGGGTTACAGGTGTGAGCCACCGCGCCGGGCCAGCTCTTAGGGTTTTATGCAGGTCTCTCCTATCTGAGGGGGCTGGCATTTGGGGTAACTCTAGAGACACCCTTGGCCCTGAGTGACTGCGTGAGACGCGGGGCTGCCGATTGCACCTGGCACTGGGGGTCGTCTCCATCCCATACTCTGGGTTTTCCCACTGGAGGAAGGATTGAATCCAGTGTAATTCGGAGAGAGGCTTATGCTTCTGTATCACATGTGGGCATTCCACAATCTGAAATCTCCGAATTAATACGCGACCAAGTCATCCGCCACTTCCACTAGACACACATCAGCCTGGCAGACGGCTCTGTTCCAACCCGGTAGGTCTCAAGACGAGCAACAGCCTCTGAGTCACAACTGCGCAGAGAAGCCTAGCAGCCACCTCGGCAGAGCCATTCCCCCACGTCCAGCCTGAGCGCCATCTGGAAAGAGACCCTGCTCAGCCGCCCCAGCATTCCAGAGACCCGCAAGCCACTGTCCCAATCCCCTCTTCCGGCCCACTCGCAAGCATTAACTGGCGCTCTTCACTTGTCTTTCTGTTACATCAGGAGTCAGGGGCACAGTGAGAGCCCCACACAGAAGGTTGAGGTCACGCCACTGACCAGCTGCGGGCCACCAGGCAGAGCAGCCTGGCCGTAGTCCTGGTCACCCAAGTGCCATCGATTGGGGCTGCCACCACCAACCCGGTGCCACACCAGCATTGGCCACCATTCCTGGTTCCCCACAGCAAGCCTATATGACAGGCAATGGTGTCTCCATTTTACAGACAAGGAAGCGGACGCCAGGGAGGGTAAGGGCTGGGTTCAAGGCTAGGCAAACAGTGCTGGTGACAACAGCAAGTAGGAACGAAGGCCCTGGCGGAGCCCTTCCTGTGAGCCGGATGCAGACTGAAAGAGCAGTGCCGGAAATCCCCATGCCTCCTAGAGCCACGCGGTTTTCTGTGTGCCCGGAAGCCACACGCCCGAGGACGTGTGGACAGGTGCAAGGAGGACAACCTCGGGAACGGCGATTCTCGAGGTGCCATTTGGACCCTGAATGACAGTGTTTGCTGCTCGTCCTCAGGCCAGAACACTTTAAATAAAAACAACCCAGACATTCTTGTGTTTGTATAAAAGATATTTACTTCAATTATCACACCTAGGGTGCTAGTGAATAATAATACATGGTGTGAGTCTCATACAGTGATATTGCTTCTCCGTATTATATAGGGACCGTTGTACAGTGCTGAGAACAAACATCGTATGGCTAACCAAAGACAGAGGGACAACACCAAGGGGCCGACGGGTGCCTCCCCCACCCCCACGCCAGCCAGGTCAACTTTGACTCTTAATGTAGAAAAACAAATAGCAAGAAATAAAATGTTATCAGAGAGGTGTCACACAGCAACACACCAGAGGCATCTCAAAGCGATTTGTACAAAAAAAAAAAAAAAAAAAAAAGACTTTTTTTTTTTCCTTTTTTCTTTTTTGGTCAATTGGGTCTTTGTGAGGATTGGAGAAAAAAAAATCTGTGATTGTGAGGATTAACAAACAAGCTCTAGAAAGATCTAAGACTTGGTGCGTTACAGAAAATATAAAATACTGCTAAAATGTAAGACGTGACAAAACACTGGAGCGGGGGTGGGTTGGGGGTTGCTGAGCTTATAAAGAGTTTTCCGGAAGATTCCGCCACCCTGCGAGTGCGTCTTGTGCTGTTAGTAGTCTGGACAGGAGCGTGGTGCTACCCGCTCTCAAGGCAAGCAGCAAACAGTTATTATTGCACAAACGCAAAGAACTAGGTCTCTTATTCAATGGAAAGGGATGTGGGGAAAACCACCTTCTTTTTTCCCCCACTTTTATTTTATAACAAGCTATTCTCCAATGCTTTAAGAATTTTGGGTGAATTCTCACATCTCCAGAACGCACGGGATTTTTTTTTTTTTTCCCAAGAGGTCTCAGATGGGGGACGTGAGATGCCCGTTTTCTCAAGGGAAGAGGCAGAAGATGGTTTGAGAGAGAGAAATGCATAGACTGATTAGAGAAAAATGAAAAAAAAAAAGTATTTTGGGGAGATGGGGACCATTGTTTCGGTGGAGGGTTTCTTTCAAAGAGAGAACAAAATCAGGACCCCCGGTGATCTTGGAGAAGGGGAGGTGATGGTATGGAAAGAGATACTCTTCCCAGCCTACCTTGGGGTGGGCAGGACCCTTGCCTTGGCCTGGGGTAAGATTCCTTCTGCTGGGCCCATGGGATCGAGGCAGGGCATCTCACCTTCACACCCGATTGGCAAGCAACTGGTGTCCTGCTGGCTGAGCTTGGGGCCACAGCAAGCGATCTCCACACCCAACCTTCCTCCACATTGAACCACCTATAGAAAAGGGGCCCTCTGCCTATGCTCTCCTAGGTGAGCCCTCAAGCCACAGCCTGGTACTACAAAACACTGTTGCTTTGAAAGATGGTTTTGACCAACTTTGTACGCAAGAAAAACAGTAACAACAAAAAACCAACCAAAACATATCAACCCGTGCGGGCCTTGCAAGAAATCACTCTCTCGCTTGGAAGTAAAGTCTTGGCCAGGCCACCGCGCCCTCTCTGACCGGGGTTCGCCAAAACTTCATGAACCCAGAAGTCTTACCAGAGGCTCTAGGAGGCTTTGGGGAACTGAACTTGGCTTTGCTAAGATTCCTCTGAAGCTCCTCAAGCGAGCGTTCTTCAGCTCAGCACTCCCTCACTCGTTGGTAGATGTTTTTTTGTTCATATACTCTCTCGTTTAAAAAGTTAGACACATAGAGACCACCAGTTTTTGAGTGGCTACTCTGGAGACAGGTGTTTGATTTTGCTGGGGAAACCCATCTGCCCCCCAGTTAATCCCCCAGACGCCTTGGTTCTCTGGGGGAATGGGGGAGGAGAGGAAGGCAGAGGATAGTAACCACTAGAGTGACAGCAAAAAGCATTTATGACAACAAAACACAAAATAACAATACACTCCTGATAAGTACTTAAATGATTAACCTAATAATAAATAGAAGAGGATAGAAATAATTTTTTTTTTTCCTCAAGGAAACATCCTTTTATAATCACCCTCACGCACGCCGGCAGGTCAGTAGCAGTCAGTCCATTTCAACAAGACAAGGTTAAGTGCTGGAAGGGATGGCTGTGGCCTCAGACACTGGGGAAGGCTCTCAGCTTCTGAATCACCGACACTCCCTATCCTGCCTCGTCAGGCCAGCGGCTCCGGCCAGAGCCTGCGGGCCCTGCACGCCCAGCTCAGTGGTCACCAAGAGGCAGGCTGGGAGACTGGAGGGAATGGGGGAGGCCTGTTTTCCCTTCGGTTCATGAACAAACGGAACTACAGTGAACAAACTCATTCATAACCTGAATCGTCCTGATCTAAAGCTTACTTTGAGTTCATTTGGTGTGCAATACGTTATTTTTTAAAAATGAAGAAAAATGATTTCAATTGCACAGAGCTTTTACACATAGTCATCTATTTAAGTGCTTTTTGTTTAAAGCAAACTACAAAAAAAATAATAATAAAAAAGAAGCAAAAGGGGGGAAAAAGGAATTATAAAACAAAAGCAGCTCCGTGCCACTTCAATGTGTCTTGCTGAATGGTGTCTCGTTTCACCAGCAGAAGTCCCAATGCTTCCGTACACACTGTGCTTCTGATTAATTTCCATAGGGATGTAGCCGTGACATTGGGATATAAGGCACCTTTTCTTTCTGATTACAGAAAGTTTGATACATAGCATATAGCATATTTTGTGGAAGAAATTAAAGCCTAAACACTACAGAAATTACAGTAACGCAGACTAATGCTTTCTTAACATTACTAGGTAAACTAAAGGGATTCATGAAAAGCAACTCAAGGGCATCTTAAGAGTTTAAGAACGGGGGGATGGGGGAAGTGCACATTTATGCATAGCCGAATGTCTTTCTCTCGCCAACCTTTTTTTTTTTTTTCTTTTTTTCTTTTTTTTTTTTTCGGGATTTTTCGCCTACAATGCCCAACTTTTAAAGTTAGCATTTTGGAGGAGACTAGGCGCTTTGGAAATGTCTTGTTAAAGCTAAATGTCACTTCATCCAAAAATGAAAACTCGAGATGATGCCACGGACGGCATGGACACGGTTATCTTTGGAGGAGAGGTGGTGGTGGGAGAGGCCTGGGCAGGAGGGGGAAGTGTTTGGAAGTCGGGCAGACAGGCAGAAATTGCATTTCCTTCTACTCCCCTGACCAGCATGGTGAGGAGCACAGGCCGCCGAGGCCTCTGGAATTGGGAAGACTGGGCTGGGGGGCCGGGAGCAGGGCTGGAGCTCCTTTTACGTTCTGCCCCCTACGCCCCCTCCTCTTCTGTCCTGATTAAGCCCAAGGGTTGTGGACTTAACTTTCAGCCCATCTCTAAGGGTTTCACAGACTGGATCTTTCTAAACTTTACTGGGTACCTGCTTCCCCTTTTCCCTGGTAGTTTTCATCTACAGAAAGTCAAAACCTGATGGAAATAGACATAAGATCGTCAAATTGGACCATTCTCTTAGCGTTCGAGTGTGCTGGCCAGACTGACATTTAGTACACGCTGAGATCCAACCATGTCACACTGGCCCCAGGTCACCACCTTGCTACTCAGGCCATAAGCCCTGCCCTTGTGGTCACAAAGGCTTCCCTAATGTCATCGATGCCCAGGTGAAACCACAGAAGCACTGAGGGATTTCTAAATGTGAGCTTTGGCTGGTCAATGCCCAATCATAGGATGCTGTCCCCACACTTGGGTTCTTACTTGCAAACTCTCTCCAGCAGGGGAACACTGTGACCCCCACAGTGGACAGACCCACCTCCAACCAGCAGCCCCAGGAGCTGGTTTTCTTCGGTGCTGGATGGGAACTGGCATATTCTTTTGGGATAAGAGGGTGATGCAAGTGTGGACGGGGCATGTAGACTGGAGGAAGCCATCTATCCTTTTCTGTCTTTGAGATGTTTGATGTTTGCAAAGGAGCGTTCGCAGTGACGCTGAAACCATGCCACAGACAACAGACACCCAAGAGCTACAGCGTTCCCCAAAGCCAGCTGGGAATCTTGGGAAGTGTCCTCATGTGGCCACTCTGGGGCAGCCCGGGGCAAGGATAATGGCCATGATGGATCTTAACAGCTGAACAGGACTGGACAGAAAGGATAGGCAAAGACCCTTGGAGGCCTGAGACCACGCCCTGCCTGCAAAAGAAACAGCTGCTGGAGCTTTGAGAACAGGTGGAAGTCAAGAGAAAAATCCGTGTGCCTTGCAGAGCACAGCTGTCTGTCCGTGTTGTGCTCACATAAGGAGAGACACACAACGCCAGCCCACCAGGCAGAGGGATGCTCGTGTCTGCTGCGCTGGCAGCTTTCCCGCCCCCTCCAGCCCACGTGCCTCATAGTTCTGCGGGGTGTGGTTCTGGGTGACATCAGATGGAGAACACAGGTTAGTGAGGTAGAAGGGACAATGAGGAGTGTGAAGAAGAGGGAGGACATCCGGGGAGGGACAGGGCCCCCCCACTGGCAGCACTGGAGCCAAACCTCCAGCCTAAAGTACCACAGCGAACAGCCCAGCACGCCCACCGCACATGCCCCGTATCGCTACATCTCCCCCTGTACAGCTGGCTTGTCGGCCTTGGGATGAGTAAGGTCTATGGACTTTTGTTTTCACTGGTCTGCCAAGATGCGCCTGTCATAGTGCATTTAAGGCAAAGGCTGTCGCCCCTCAGTTCAAAATCTCTCTGCTTTTCTTTGTGTGACTCCCAGAAGGACATGCGTCTATTCCCCAGACTCTGCTATTTTTCAGTAAGATTTGCTTTGCTAAAATCAAGAGGAATGAAAAACATTGCATAGAATGTCAACAGAGTTCATTGATCTACCTTGTATCAAAGGACATGCGTGCAGGAGGAACAAAGTCATCCAGTCCAACCTTAGTCGGGAAGGCACCTGCCCGTGAGGGAGCTCACCTGGGGACTCCTGTTCTCCTCTCTTTTTAGGGCCTGGCTGTGGCACGATCTTAAAGTAGTCAGCCGAGGCCCACAGCGATCTCTTTACAACCTGTGTAAACTGGTCGTGAGCTGCACGCCTGATGCTGGCCCTGGCCAAGGAGGGAGATG